GGCTGGGGGGAGGGGGAGGGACGCTGTTGCTGGGTGGCTCTGGAGTTTCAGATTTGCAAGATGAAGAAGTTCTGGGGATCTAATTCACCACGGTGTGAAAAATGCTTAATGCTACCGAATTGTCTTAGAAATGTTTCAGACGGTAAGTCCTGTGGTGTTTTTTACAGAGAGACAGGGGTTGAGAGGGGAGCCATACCCAAGCCCAGGGAGAAAGTTTTGCAGAAGAAATTAGCACATCCTTGAGCAAGATCAGCCCTGCCGTCCTGGCACACAGCCTTGAGTCCCTTATCCACTGTGGTTTCCAGTACCCTTGGCCCATCCAGGGGTCTCCGAAGAATTTCTAAGGTCAAAGGGAGCTTGTGTCTCAGGATTCACAGTGAGAGGACAATTTGTCTCAAAGATGCCCTGAATGGCACCCAGACTGGGACAAGAAACCCCTCAGATGGTGCCAGGTATGAGTGGGTGGGAGGAGGTGGGTACTCTGAAAACACAGGCGACTGGGACTTCTCAGAACCCGCAGGCTGCTCAGAAAATGGCAACGTTTCTGCTTCAGGGATCTGCCCTTCAAGGCTGTCACCCCAGCCTTCAAAATCCAAGTCCTTCCTGGGAGAAGTCACTGGTTTTGCGTAGTAAGAACCACCACCCTGCGTCCTCCCCGCCCCCCGCCCGTTAAAAAGATGGTGGCCACACACACATTTTATACCAACTCAAAAGCTGGGTTTCCTGCTTCACTGACTGACTGAGAAACTGAAGGCTGGTTTTGTTTTAGGAGTTAGACTCTGCACTAACACACCATGCCATCTTTAATAAACAGAAGAGACCAGAGTTCTTTAGCCCACAGCGGGCTCCGTGGTGTCTGCGAGGCCCTGAGGTTGCTGGCAGACCTCCCTGGGCCCGGAAGGGCAGGTTTCAGTGCTGAGCAGGGAAACCCCCTAGTCCCAGGCAAACTCAGACAGCTGGTCACCCTCCCTGCATATTCCCCTTGGAGGCAAGATCCACAGCTTCCCAATTCTCAAGGAGATTTATGCCCACAAAAGATTAAGAAGCAGTGAATTTGCATCCCTCTCAAAGAGAAGCAGGGAGACTCATGACACGAAACAATCACCTCGGAATCTCTCTGGAACTGCTGTCAGCAGGAGTGAGACTTGTAAGGGAGCATAGTTGCGATTACTGGTCTTTACGGGCAGGCGGAACAGGCATTTGCTGGGTCTCTCCGAGCACTGCCCACTCTGCCCACAGTCGTACAAAAGGGAGGCCCCTGGACAGCTGCCTCCCAGTGGAGCACCAGGAGGGACACGTCCTTCCGTGTCCCAGACTCGGCCTCTGCTAGCCCTGGCCAGGGAAGAGCCTCTACTCAGCTGAAGGCAGCCAGGAGGTTTCGGTTACAGCCTCGGTGACCGTGCTTTGCTTTCCCATCCCTGGAGGAATTCTGGACAGCAGTGACAGGAGTTGTCCGTGATAACATCAAGCTCACGCCCACGGCCAGATCTGATGCCACAGGCCACATCCACATCCGCGTCTCTGACCACAGAGGCCGGCAAACGGGTCTCTTCCTCTCTCTCCCTTCCTTCCTCCCACGCCTCTCCTCTCAACCAGCTTCTGTGAAAGGTACAAAATGTCCTCTTTCCTCTCCCAGGGCCTGATGCAACATTAATACCTGAATATTTATTAATAACCAATTATCAGCATAAGGCCTGGCAACCAGTCCCACCTTTGACATTCGTCGGTTGTATGACCTGGGGTGACTGAGCTTGACCCCAGAACCCTTCTTTTCTCAATATGAATTTCAGAGCATCACAGGTAACATCTTTGACTTTCACCAAGGGAGGCCTTATTGTGTTTCACATGCATGGACACAGTAATCCCAATAGCCATCTGAGGTAGGAATTATTACTATTCCCCCCTCAATGGACCAGCAGAAGAGGATCTGGAAGGCTGAATGCCTCACCTAAGGTCAGCTAGTAAGCAGTGGAGCCCGGACTGCCACCCAGAGGAATCAGATGCTGTCCTATATGGGGTAATAATAATGAAGATTTAAAGGGCTAGTGTAAAGATTATCTAAGATCAAAGGCTGGGCATGGTGGCTCACACCTGTAATCCTAGCACTCTGGGAGGCCGAGGCAAGAGGAATGTGTGAGCTCGGGAGTTTGAGATCAGCCTGAGCAAGAGCAAGACTCCATCTCTACTAAAAATAAAAAAACTAGGCAGGTGTTGTGGCAGGCACCTGTAGTCCCAGCTACTCAGAAGGCCGAGGCAAGAGGATCTATTGAGCCCAAGAGTTTGAGGTTACTGTGAGCTGTGATGCTATGACACTCTACCCTCTACCCAGGGTGATAGAGTGAGGCTCTGCCTCAGAAAGAAAAAAAAAAAAAAAGATTAATGCAGGCTTTATGCAGGCTGGCGCTCAGTTGATATTATTAAGATAAATACCACTGCCATAATTGTCACTGTCACCACCACCATTACTGAAAATTCTTAAGGCTCGTCCTTGCTAAGCCAGTGGTCCTCAACGTGCAGTCCCAGACCAGCAGCACCAGTATCATCTGGGAATTTGTTAGAATGCAAATTCTCTTGGCTCGGTGCCTGTGGCTCAAGCGGCTAAGGCGCCAGCCACGTA